TCAGATGTATGAGACCCTAATGCATGTTCAGATGTATGAGACCCTAAAGCATGTTCTAATGCCAGGTCCACGCTTATAGGCCATGCACTACTTGCAAATAAAACCAAGGAGCAGAAAGTAAGGGTGGAACCTGTCTGGAGGTTTCAGAGCTATCAGATGCTGAAAATTGGGGTGCCTTGTAGGTAATAGTGAGCCAGTGAATTTAGAAGGTGGTTAAATATGACTCTATGGGAAGCAAGAGTTTCCTCCTTGTTTCCAATTTTAGTGGCCACTCCAACATGAAGGCTGTCATGGGAATAGAGAATTAACAGGAGTTCCCAGGGCAGCAGCTCCCCACCCCAACCCAACCCCAAACACCCAGATCTCATAGAACCACTATCCTGAACAGTACTCACCCAGCCCGTGGCAGTGGAGATGGTGCAGTGGGCAGAGATGACTTGGAGTCCCAGACCCCACTGTTTCGACCTGCATAGCACAGAGAAGAACCAGTCACTGTGTCTGCCTTCAGGAATGGTTGTATTAGCGAGGCTAACCTTTCACAGACACATGTGTTTCATGTTACTTTTACTGAAGTGTATATGTCTAGTGACACTGCAGCTGAGAGGCAAACCAATGGGCACAGGTAATGAGAAATTTGAAATGCCAATACAGGGGCCAGGGGGTAGCTCCATGGTTGAAGTGCTTGCCACACAGGTGTGAAGACCAGAATTTAGATTCCAGAACCCATGTAAATGCCAGGAGGGTATGGGAGCTTTCTTGTAATGCCAGTCTTAGAAAGCAGGGAGATAAGAAACTCAGCAAGACTAGCCCTATTGATGAACTCTAAGTTTGATTGAGAGAGCCTGCCTCAGTGAAAGGTGGAAGAGTGATAAAGGGTGATTCCCAACATCAATTGCAACATGTAGGTGCACCCATATACCTGTGCCTATACACATGCAAACACACACACACACACACACACACACACACACACACACACGAAAAAAAAACGCTAACATGTAAACTCTGGTGTAGGCTGTAGGTCAGAATGCCATTCTCACACTTCAAGAAGATCTTCTCATTAGACTCATGGGCAAGTTCAGGAACCTCGGTTATGAGAGCCCAGTGAATACACACAAAAGTCCCTTTCAGAGGGAGCCCGGAACTCCCACTTGCACTGGGGTACAATGTACAGGTCTGATCAGCAAAGGTGTCTAGAGATATATTGGCTCCACCTACTTCTGGCACATGCCCCTCCCATGCATACGATACTTCAGCACAGTATCTGCTCCTTGTGAACATCAGAAAATTATCTACTCACACATAGCCAAGTGTGGGCAAGTTCAAGGCCATTCCCCACATCCAATCTTCTGAAGTCATATAAGGGACCCTTGACCTTGTATCTACACCCTCCCCACCTTCCTGCCTGAAAATAAAGCCAGACAATGTGAAGGAGGCCGTAAGAGATGATAGAGTCCCTACATGGGTGGCTTCCTGGACACTACTCAGTAAGCAGGAGGTTCATGATGAGACTTTTTATTGGATCAAACTGAGCTTAAATAAATACTATGTGTGGTGTATATGCATGTATGTGCTTGTGCATGTGTGTGTAGAAAACAGAGGAGGATGTCACACATCCTGCTCCATTATTCTGCCTTATCTCTTTTAGATAGGGTCTTTCATTAAGCCTGGAGGTAGGCTGGCCGCCATCAGGTCCCAGTGACCCTCATGTCTCTATTCCTCACAGTGCTAGAATTACAGTCCCACGCCTGCTCTACCTGACTTCTTACATGCATGCTTGGAGGTCCAAACTCAGATCCAAGATCCTGCTTAATCAGTAAGTGCCATGCTCACCAAGCCATGTCCCATGCCCTCCATAAACATCTCACTAAGAGACTACAATATAGAGAGGTCCCCCCGTTCCTAATGGACATGCAGGAGATATTCTGTAAGCTTGGGTCAGATCTACTGCCCTCTCTAGTGTTTTAGTTTTTCCAGAAACTCAGAAATGAGTTACCAAATACTACTGAGGACCTGGTCTGTGCTAAGCCCTGGGAGGCACTCACGGGCTCCATGGAAGGTACCTGGAAGGAGAGACATACTGTCCTTATGCTTCTCACTCTGAAGACAAAAGGCCTTAGAAAGCACTGAAAGTCTGGCCACAGGGTTATTCTCTCGACTTCTACACAGACCATCTACTATTTTTCTTCACACAGTGCTTGCTGAGTTGGGTGCTAATGTCACTAAACACCAGAGTGGGTGGTCCCAATGGCTCTGGGCCTTCACCAGCACACTATGGGGCCGTGCCTTCTCCAGGACTGCTTCTACTTATGGCTTACCTGACTTATATGCAATTTTAGGAAACATGTAAGAAAGAAAACCACATTTCTAAGTGTTAGGTTTCAGACTGTTCATCTATCCACAAATGGGCTCAGGCTGGACAGCAGAAGGATTCCAGGCAGTTAGATAACAGCCATCATTCCTCAGGAATGTGAGAAATGGTCCCCCACCACCTCCCCATCTGCTTGGAGTCTTTTCCTTTGGCTCTCCACTGACCTACACCTAAGGTAGTTATTAGCATACCAAAACGCCCATGCTGACCTCCAGGCTCCCTCAGTATCAGAAGTACCTGTTACACTTCAAAGTCCACATTGGCATCCAGGGCTTCCCTCCCCCGCCCCCATCCCTGGCAACTCATCGTATGTGTGTGTATATGTGGGGGGGTGTATGTGGGTAGAGGTATGTGAATGTGGGTGTGGGGATGTACATGTGTATGTTTGTATATGTGTGTATATGTGTGTGTGTATATATATGAGGGTGTATGTACATGGGGGGGTATGTGTATGTGGGGATGTATATGTGTGTGTATATATGTGTGGGGTTATGTGTACGTGGGAGTGGGGATGTATCTGTGTGTGTGTATGCATGTGTGTGTGTATGTGTGTGTATGTGTGCATGCATATGTGTGTGTGCATGTGGGTACATGTGTGTGTGTATATGTGGTGTGTACATGCACGCACGCACATGCATGCATGCCGTATTTTCTATCTACTTCTATCTCTACTCTTGTCTGCCTCTCCCTGCTTCCCTAGCCCTGGCCATCTTCCAGATGCCTCTGGATATTTTCTCTCCCTTACAGTAAAAGCCTTTCCCCTAATAATGGAGCAGTCATGTCAGCAGTTTTTTTTGTTTGTTTGTTTGTTTTGTTTTGTTTTTTTACTGTGTCCCTTCACATACAGTAAGCTGTACATGTCACACGAATCGTCTAACTGCTGAGTAATTCTGAACATTAAGGTTGACACTGCAAAAGGTTGGCCACACATATTCAGATGGAAGACATCAGGAGGCAGCCATGTCTGAAAATCCAGGAAGCAGGTAAAAGGTCTAAGTCAGACCCCACCCCACCCCAGCTTTTGTTCGACCCACTGCCTGGTTTTGTTTTTTTTTTTTATTTTACTGAGCTGTCCTCTCCTCCATGTCCTCAACCACCTGCAGATAGCTTCTTTTTTTCTTTCCTCTCCATAAACAGCTTTTAGCCAGCAGACAGGAGGACTTTCCAGCTCTGCTCTGAGGTATCAAAGCATGGTGCTGGTGCAAAACCCATGCTCTTGGGCCAGTGAGGTAGCTCAGCAGATAAAAGTGCTTGCAGCCAATCCTGAGGACCTAAGTTCAATCCCCAGAACCCCCCTTGGTGAAAAGAGAGAACCAACTTTACAAAGTTGTCCCCTGACCTCTGTGTGTGTACTGTGACATGAACATGCCCTGTTCTCTGACAAATACATAAAAAAAAAAAAAACCAAAATATCATGCATTAGGTCTTGCATTAGGAAGACAGCATTCTAGTTACTTCTCTGTCACCAAACTGTCTGAGTGGCTTCTTAACAAACACTGTCTCAGGTGCCCTGTGAAATAGGGACAGTCATCTTATCAAATTCATTTTTTATGGTCAGACAACAGGATAAATCTGACATTTTAAAAAAATCAGTCGGACACAGAAAGAATCAATAGTCTTAGAAAAGGAACAAAAAATATCTGTTGGTTAAAGACTTGATAATGAGGGGAAAGGGCCAGATGTTCAGAAGCCAGATGTGCAGGGATACATAGTGAGTGATCCTGTCTGTATGAAATGTCAGCAAGAACAGGTTTCCAACAACAGATACAGACACGTGGTTGCCTGGAGACAGGAGTAGAACTAGCACTGACTATATAAGTGGACATAAGGGATCCTGGGGGCTGGGTGGGCATGGAAATGTTCTAAAGTGAGCTGTGGCAACGGTTACATAATGTGTTACTATCAACATCATCATTCATAAAAGTCATCGACTTTGTACTGAGATGGATGAGATTTGTAATATTCAAATTATAACTCATAAAGGACTAGTGGACAGGATTATTACTAGTGTCTTGTGATGACTACTCCAGGGTCTCTGGGTGCTGGCAGAGTGCTAGGGATTGCAGACACACCATCTGTATGTCCCTAACACCAGGTGGGACAGATGGAGACTAAGAGAGGGCAAGTGACAGGGCCACCTGAGCTGTGAACCCAAGCAGGTGCTTCTCTCTTCAGCCAAGACTCTGATTGTTTTCAGGGGCTTGCTTGCAGGTCACCCTTGCCTCTCTTCTGGAGAGGGATGAGGATGCTTCTGTGAGGGAGAATGCAGACAGACTCCTCTATTCACCAGCCAGGTTCTCTGCTCTCCCAGAGTGCAGCCAGACCAAAGGGGCACATCAGCAGAACCCTGGAAGTGGTGTACCTGGCACCCAGCTCCCTTTCTGAAAGAGTGCAGCTCTTGTTTGGGACACTCTAAGGGAGAAATGTGGTAGATGGTATATCAAAAACATAATCATAGAAGAAAAAATAAAACAAAACAAAAACAGAACAAAACAGCCAAACCAAAAAACCCAGCTTCAGTCTCTATCTGCCCTGAGCAAGAAATGTGAAGGCGTTTCTTTTAAAGGTGCAGGTCGGGGTGTCGACTGCTGCTTACCTTCTCAGCTAGGAATTCATTTTTGAGGCTTCCGTGTGTCCTGTCCCGTGTACATCCTGCTTCCGTGTGCGTCCTGCTTCTGTGTGTGTGTGTGTGTGTATGTGTGTGTATGTTTGTGTGTGTGTGTATTGTACATCATTCTACTTCAGATTCACATTCAACATCCATCTTGTCCCCCCTCCCCTCAGTGTCAGCATTTTAACCTCCAGAGCTCCCAGCTCTTTGCAAGCATTCTTGTAGTCTGTGTTGTTGATGTTGTTGTTAAAGTATATAGCATCCTGTATTCTGAAGCATGCACACAAAAGATTACACCCAGCAATTCTGCAACACTTTTGGCTGCATTAGTGCGAGGTTCAATTTTGGGGGATTTGTAAATTTCAAAGATCTGTCTATCTATCTATCTATCTATCTATCTATCTAATCTTATCTATCTATCTATCTATCTATCTATCTATCTATCTATCTATCTATTCAGTTAGTTAGTTAGTTAGTTAGTTAGCTAGCTAGTTAGTTAGGTTGTTGGTTGGTTGGTTGGTTTTTCCCAGACATGGTTTCTCTGTGTAGCCCTGGGTGTTCTAGAATCACTCTGTAGATCAGGCTGGCCTCAAACTCACAGAGCTGCCTCTGCCTCCTGGGTGCTGGGATTAAAGGTGTGCTCAATCACCACCTGGCAAAGGTTTATTTATTTATTTATTTATTTATTTATTTATTTGAGGAACACAGTTTTAAATGATACCTGTTAGAAATCAGGTGCTCCCCTGCCTGCCCTCAGACACTCAGCGCCAGCGTCTAGGTCACCACTAGTCACCAACCCTTTACAAGCCACCCCTTATCACAGCCTCCTCTGTCTCCCAGTCTCTGTATGTCTCTCATTCTCTGTCTCTTTGTCTCTATCTTTTTCATATTTCTGCTTTAAAATGTCCTTTTGTCCCCCCCCAACACACACACACACACACACACACACACACACACACACACACACCAATAAATCTTTTGTATAATCTTTGCAACGTACCTTGGCCAGGATTGACCTACCAAGGTACTCCAATGCTAAATGCTAACCAACTTAGAGAGAGCTCAGAAATACAGATTCCATGTAACTTTTCCATACAAAAACTGAATACCATCTAGAGATCTTACCCTCATGAGGAGACAAATCCCTATGGACTAATATGTCTAGTTTGTCTAAACTGATGGTTCTCACCCAGCTAGAAGTTGAATCCAACTCAGAGATACTTGGCACCATGTGGGGATCTTTTTGTCCAGTATGTTTAGGGAGATGATTTTGCAACCTAGTGGGTAGAGGGCAGGCCACTTCCAGGAAGCCTGTGGGCATGGATAAGACTAAGACTTTGCTTCCTGTCCTTAAGAAACTTGGAGATATAGGTGATTGTTCATGTATGATCTCAGTCGTACATATCTTTTGGAGCAGATTCAAAACCAAACCACACGTCTACTTACCTGCGACAGTCCCCGGAGGCGACACATGCTTTGAGGAGCTGTTTGGCTTAGTTGATCTATTCACCATGGGAGCTGAAACATACATATACACATGCAGGGTGATGGCAGACAGGTTCCATTAAGGAAAGTCATTGTAGATAGAAACATGATCAGTCAAACCAGAGAATCTGCAAAGACTCTATGACCCTCATTAATCCCATAAGCCATGCAAATAAGTCTTCTCAGGGGAAGCTCTGGAATAGGTGTATTTATTAGTGATTAAAGAAATGAAATAAAGATAACCTGTTAAAACACATACTGGATCAGAATATCAGCTCCTGGAGGCTTGAGAGACAAAGTTTCGCTTTGTTTCATTTTAATCAAAAGTATATTAAACCTAAACATGGTGATGCCAAATTGATTCCGCCTCCTTCCCTTCCATACACAAATTCCCTTGGATTCTGAGGTTGTTTGAGGAGAAAAGAGAAGGGATGTGTAGGTGTTGCTTTGTTCACTGGGTGGCTTGGTCTTCAAGCCATGGCTCATGCTTGGGTGTATAGCAGAGAATTGTTATAAAAACCAGGAGAGGTGAGAGCCAGTTCTCTCTGGTCCAGTTTATTAGATGAGAAGCCTCACCTGAAGAGGCATCAACTGCCTGGGACAATATTTTCCAAAGTCACTATTTCTGGAGGGTGCTCCTTTCGTGTCTCATCTGAGACGAGGTGTTTGTGATAACATTTCATATCTCCAGCAGGATTTACAAACCAAGTGTCCTACGGGCCTGAGACACCGGTGAAACTAACAAGCCAGGATGCAGGGCGCATGAGTTCTTGTTTCATCATCCCGTCACAGATTTGCTAGCTGTGTACTGTTTATTAGTCAACCCTGTGACTGGCAGCCCGGTGAGAGTTAGCTATTGAGAACCATTCTAAGTGAAGGCAGCTGAAGATGATAGCCCAGTGCTTTTATAACCTGGGAATAAACCCGTGAACATGGAAGGAGGAGAAAGCCTCTGAAGCAAATGCTCCTCTAACCAAAGGGGGCGTAACTACAGAGGAGGGGGACTTGTCCAGTCTGAGCTTCCCAGTGCTTACTTGCTGAGCAGTCTGGTGTCACCTAACTGCTGGAAGTTTTCAAGCACTCCAAACTCCAAATGCTTACCTTTCTCAGCAGGCAGCGGGCTGCTTTCTCTGGGATGGATATAGTTTTCATCATTGTCCTCCACAGGGACCACATAATCAGCCTAAAAGAAATATAGAAGTGGAAAGAACGTTTGCTATACATTCATAGTTAATTGTGGGAGAAAGATTTTTGTGTCTATAAAAGCTTTAATGGGCTATAATTCACACACTATAAAATTGCTTAAAGTGGGATGCCTTTTGGCATTTAGTTATCCATTGTATCTACAAGGGGCTTGTCTACCAGACTTTGTTTCATGAATGTTAAGTTCATGGCTGCTGAAGTCCCTTAAGAAAAATGGATAATATCAGTTGTATTTTCTGTGATTAAACATCAGGAGCAGATGCAAGTTATAAAAAGAAGAGTTTATCTGGTCCCAGTGTTCTGGAGGGATAAGTGTGCATGGTGGTGTGCAGGGGGTTGGGGGATGGGCACAACAGCAAGCAGAAGAGGTGGTAGCAAGAGCAGAGAGCTGAGAGTTCACATATTTAATCACAAGCATGAAACAGAGCCTTAAATAGATGTGGGGTAAGATTATAAAAACCCAAAAGCCACACTTCTTCCAACAAGGCCACACCTCCTAAGCCTTCTCAAACAGTGTAAGCAGCCAGGAAACCAAGTGTTCAAATGCCTGAGACCATGGGGGCTATTTTCATTCAGACCACTGTGTTAGCATTCAGCCAATGCTTGAGTAATTTAATCTCTAGGCTTCTAAAACACCTAATAGGATGTTAGGTGTGTCTTGTAGTTTGGATCCATCTTTCTTTGATAGTTAATGCTTCCAGAGCATCTCTTCAGGTGCTTACTAATACTCTTTCCCACTTTTAATTGGATTGTTTGCCTTTTATGGTATATCAGTTCCTTAAATGTCTTAGATTTTAAGCTCTATATGAGATCCATGACTTGCATTTTTTTCTCCTCTAATTTTGTCTCACCATGTGGCATACAGCAGCACTGAGCTGAAGTCCTCTCAGTGTTGGCAACACAGGCGTGTATAACAATTGGCCTTGCTCATGCTTTTTTTAATGCACCACTTCAGGTACAAAGATCTAAATTTTAAGTCTAATTTGTGTATCTTTTTCTTCGATGTTTGTGTTTTGGTGTCATTAAAAACCATTGCCTAACTCAAGGCCATAAAGATTTACATTTATGCTTTTTCCCTCTAAGAGCCCAATAGTGTCATATTTTACATCTGGGTCTATGATCTACTTCTGGCTAATATTGTATATGGTATGAAACAGGGTCCAGTTCCCTCATTTTGCATGTGGGTATGCAGTTTTATTTAGCCCTGTTACTTTTGTTTAATCAGCTACCTTTTTATTGAATTTTCTTGGCCTTTATCAACAATCAGTTGACCACAAATGTAGAGAGGGAGAGATTTTTTTATACTGATAAAATACAAACGAGCTACCCAGATCTTAAAGACAGATTTTCTAATCTGTCCTGGTAGACTGGCAAGACACATACCAGGAGCAGAAAAACAAACAAACATCATCTCGCTCAGTCATTTTAACAGCCCTGTCTGGTAGGTACTACCACCAACTCGAGGTATGGAGAAAATACAGAGCTTGCACAGGCAGTAGGTACAGGTTTTAAGTCGCTTTGGTCACTTCCAGCACACCACAGCCACCTGCTTGTTTCCCGAAGCCCACACTCCCATCTTTCTACTCTTAGAGTTCTTCCCTCTCTCTGGTTAGTTGCCATTTCTCATCTCTTCTTCACCTTCAACAGGAGTCATCCTGTCGACACCGTCTAGAACCTAATCTACTTAGGGTGATGCTATTTCTGGACCTGAGATGTTTTTATTCCAAAAGAGAAATGACACAAAAGACTAGACTCACTCCCAACACATTCCGTTTGTTCAAGAAGAGAAGACGAAGAATGTGCATTTCTGGTCCTGCAACTCCGAGGTTTGAAATTGCCACCTGCTACACGTATATGATGAAGCTCCATCACAATCTGTACCTTCAAGAGCCCATAGGCATTATTGTGAGGTTCTGATATAAACTTCATTATCCCATGAATAATCCACAAAATTGTAGCTGTAGTGTGAGCAGTAATTACTCAACAACAAACAACAACGACAACAACAACAACAATCTCTTCTATCACAGGTTCATCTCAAACTTGCTGCATATTTGAGAATGACTTTAACTACAGATCCCCCTGGCTTGACCTCAAAAATATAAGTAGATGCCAGATATGGTATACGCAATCTGTAATCTCAGCTATTTGGGAGGTTGAGGCAGGAGGATCATAACTTTGTCAGCCTGTGAACACAGCAGTTCAAGGCTTGCTGAACAATTTATCAAGACTGAAAAGAGATAAAAATAAGAGAAGTGGGTGTAGTGGTGTATACTTTTGAACCCAACACTTAGGAGGCAGAAGCAAGCAGATCTTTGTGGGTTCGAAGACAGCCTGGTCTACACAGTGAGTTCTAGGACAAACATTACATAGCCCTTGTCTCCACAAAACAAAACAACAACAAACAAACAAACACTTCAAACAAAATAAATAATAAACTATTGGAGATACACGAGGTTCTGAGTACTAGAAAAAGATAAAGAGGGAGGGGTGTATGTGTTGGTTTTGCCTTTTCTTTTCTCTTTCCTTTTTGCACATTCTTTTTCTCTCCTGAGATAGGGTACCGTGTAGCCTATCCTGGCCTTGAACTTACTCTGTAGGAAAGAATGACCATGAAGCCTGAACTTCCTGAGTGCTGGGATTACTGATCTCTGCCACCACTCCTAATTTATGTGGTTCTGGTAATGGAATCCAGTACTTTGTATATGCTAGAAAAATACTCTACCGACTGAGCTACATCCTTGGTCCTCTGTGTGTGCAGGCGCAGGAAGTCATGTGCACGACACAGAGAAGCACCTCGGATGCCATTGTTTAGGTGCCATTTTCTTTATGGGCTATGCTTATTTGATTATTTATTTATTTATCTATTTGAGACATTGTTTGTTTGTGATTGGCTGTGATTTTGTCTGTTTATTTGTTTAAGACAGGCCCTTTCATTGGCCTGGGACTCATTCCCTAACCTGTCTCCATCAGTGTCAGGATTACAAGATCACTACTGGTGCCTTTGTGTGTCGTTGTGGGAAATGAAACTCTGGTTTTCCTTCTTGCAAGGCAAACATTTACCAACCAAACTACCAGCCAGTTTGGCTGCTTTCCTTGTAACCCTTTTTTGTCTGTTTTTGTTTTGTTTCGTTTTGCTTTAAGACAGGGTTTCTCTGTGTAGCTTGGTTGTCCTGGACCTTGTTTTTGTAGACCAGGCTGACCTCAAACTCACAGAAATCTGCCTGCCTCTGCTTCACTAGTACTGAGATTAAAGGTGTGCTCCACCGCGCCCAACCAGTAACCCTTTTTTAGAAGTCAGCTTCCCATCTGCTCCTTCCAGAACACAGCCTCCTCTACTTCTTTCCCACTGGTACAGGCTTTCTCAGGCCACCTCTGCAGGATGGTATGAGCCTGCCTCACTGAGCTCCCTCCCAGCTAATCACAGAACTGGAGATTCTGTGTCTAAAGTCACATCTTCAAGTGAGTTTGCCCAAGCCCAAGAGACTTTACCAACCCCTTTCTCTCTTCTATACTGTTGTCCTGGTACTTGTGTCCCCCTCCCCCATGTCTGCCTTAAAGAGTCAGGATTGTCTTTTTAAGTCACCTCTCTGACTGACAGACTGAGGATTGAGACCCCCTCCCCCCAAGTCTGGGCCATCCGATTTTCACTATCCCCCAGAGCAGGACCCAGGCACAGACGTGTGCAGAGGTGATAGAGGTGAGGAATCTTCCAGGATGAAGATGTGTGCATATGCTGTGGGAACGGTGAGCCCATGGTGAATGAGGAAAGGATTCACTCACAACTGAGATGGGCTACCATGAGGCTCAGCAGCTCTGACTCAGCGCGGACCACTGCCACCTTCAGTGTTCAGGAGAAACTAGAAAACTGACCCTGTAGAAAGTCTAGAATATAATAGAAACCTAGTGTGTGTGTGTGTGTGTGTAAAAATTATATCTACCTATCAAATATGAAAATAGTAAGAAAAAGGAAAGAAGAAAAAGAAAGAGAGAGAGAAAGGAAAGAAGGAAGGGAGGAAGGAAGGAAGGAAGGAAGGAAGGAAGGAAGGAAGGAAGGAAGGAAGAAAAACAGACTCAGAAAGGATGGCCAGCTTGTCTAAAATCACAGAGCTGACAGGATCAGAAAGAATTTAGGCCTAGATGTTGTCTCTACTGTGCTTTAAAAGGTCCTTTTTTCTGTAACCTTACTGGACATTATATAAAGACACAAATGAAGGTCATGTCACAACTGGTTCTAGCACTTGCAGACATCCCAAAAGAAGTGATTTCTCGGAGTAGTCTCTCTAAGAATGTCTGGTGATGGCTTAGAGCTGTCTTCAGTACCCTCCTGTAAGACCATCTTAATGGCCATGAGTCTCTTTAAAACACAAATGCCATGAGAACTAGGACTCCTAGGTTGGGACAGCCATTGTCACACACTCTGCGGACTGTACTGGGTTACTTTAAAGAGGTGACGATCCCAGGTGGAATAAGACTCCCACTGACAGAGGGGAGGTTGATGAGGTGGGTTTCCTGATTCCCAGGGGCTGGGTACAGGAGGGGAAGAAAAACAGTGAGGGTTGTTAAGAGGCATTGTGGGGATGACAGGAGAGGCACAGACTCAGTATATACACATTTCAGTGGAAAACCCTGATGAGTAAGAAGACAGGAGACCAGCAGGGCTTGGAGGAAGGAAGGTCACTCCAGACCTACTTCCTCAAGTGTCTCCAGCTCTCCCCCTAGGCTTACTTTACCTCATCCTCAAGGAGGTCTTTGGGCTTGGGGGGGATTTGAGGCTTCTGTAGAGAGTTGGGGGCTGGCAGAGTGGAGGCCAGCCTCATTTTCGCTGAAGGCCAGCTGGGCTTACTGGGAAGCGTCTTGCTGAAGGGTGGAGAGTGCCGCTGGCTGGATCGATTATCTTGAACAAACATAAGACAACACAAAAGAGGCTCTGGGTCATTCATTGTGTGGACATCATGGGGATCTAAAACACATACAGGCAAAGACTTCTTTCTAACCACAGAAGATCAGAGTGGCTCTTAAAGGAGCCTCGTCAACAGATAGACAGAAAGCATCAACTGTCAACTGTCTATTTACCATGTGCTAACCAGCAGAAGGTCCTCAAGATCACATTGGGAGGGGGGATGATAAGAGCCCACAGGGTTGGGAGAGCTAAGAGCCCAACACTCTGCTAAGTACACTGGGCAGGAGCAGCACGCTGAAGAGAGGAGTCTGGTTCTCAGCTGTATTTACACATTGGAGACATCTGGGGACTTTAAAAGTGGACTTCCCTGGACTTCTGGATACAATCTGCTCTGATGGGTTTTTAAGTTCTCCAGAATATACCAAGGAATTCCTTCTCTCAACTCCTGGAGAAATCAGGCAAGCCTGCTTTGTCCAGGACTATCCTTTTCAGCAGGAATCTGAGAAAGAGCCCAGACTCCGTAGGTGGATGGATCTAGGTTCCTTCTGCTCTGGCATCGACTAACCGCACCTATCTGCATCAGTTACAGTTTCTCTGGGATTCCTTTCCTTATTTTAAAGTAGATCACACTATCCACCACTGGAGTTAATTGTAGGAATAAGAAAAACTGCAGTGAACGAAGCTGGTGTCAGCATGGCTGCCTAATAAATAGATCTGATTCCATCATGCTCTGTGAGGGCTTCAGATACCCAGCCTGCCCAGCGATGCTGTGGGCTGAGTTCTGATTAGACTGACGAATTTTCAGAAGTTCTTAGCATACGAGTGCCCTGGCATTCCCCATGCTAGGCAGTGCAGTGCCTTGCCGCATGCTGCTGACTGTCTTACTACCTTGCGGGTCATACTCTGACACTATGCTTTTCTTGGTGCTTCCTCTTGTTCTTATTTCTTCTTTGTCTGAGGTATGTGGCCAATATCACATTTACTGAGCTCACACACTATTGCCTCTGCTTTGCCACTTTTAATTGTTTGCAGCTCTTGGTGTTTATGTAGAATTTTCAACGCAATGTTTAAACCCATGAGAAGTAGCAAAACACAGAAGGCAGGCTTTGAAAAAATTGAATTGTGGCTTCTGGTTTGCAATGTGCACCTAATACAGCCTCTTCCCTCTCCGGATCATTGCAATGAGTGAACAAAGTCATTTACCACATCCAGTGGGGGAGTGCATGGGGCGGGGCTTAAGGCAGGCTGGTATGGATGCTGAGAGGCCTACCTCACACTCAAGTTCCACATCTATATAACCTTGGCACAGTTAGCTCCCTGCCTGCAGTCTCTTCTTGCCCTATACAGTGAAGATGCATCCCTGTTCCACAGGACTGACAGGGATAAGAAACCGTGGTTATAAAGCACCGCTCTGGAATATATAGAACATAACAAGAGTATGTTTCCTCGCTCACTGCTAAATGCTCAGGGCCGAGCATGGTTCTGGCCAGAGTAAGGGCCCAACAGACTAATTGTGGAACACAGAACCAGTATCAACCAGTACCCTGTGGAGAGGCTGCTGACAACTGTGAGGATGATCTTGCTGTACACAAGCAAGCACTCCCCTGGTTATGAGCACACTTGATAGTCCTACCTTCAGGGAACCTCCTGGTCCCTTGCTATGACAAGAACAGAAATGATTTTACTGTTCCTCCTGATACCGTATGCAAGCTAGGTAAGAACTCTACCACTGAACTACACTCCCAGCCTGGGTTTTGTTTGGTTATTTTATGTTTGTGTTTTAACTTTTTATTTTGAGGTGTGCTCTTGTTAAGTTGCCTCATCCCCACCCACCAGCTAGGAGTACAGACCTGTGCTATCATGCCAGACTTCTTGAAGAACCACCAGAGGCATGCCTCAAAGTCAGATTGTGCAGTCAATTGACCTAAAAGGTTGATTGCAGGCCCAGGGCTCACTGACCTCCCCTCTGCCCCCTCGTGAACATCCACAATCTAGAAGGCCTGTGTGCAAAGCTGTCTGGACCAGAACAAAAGGAACTTTCGTGGACACTCAGGTCCTTGAAGGGCACAGTTATTCTGTGTGGGCTTTGCAGAAGATTCAGAGCCTTGGATGAAGGAGTTCACAAGAGAAACAGGACTAGTGCCTGGGTTGACTTCTTGTGGGGCTATGAGGGGGGGCAATCCTTAGGGTACACATCCTTATCAGTTCAGAGAATCTGTTTCCAACCTGGGGGAAACGCACCCCATAAAATGACAAAGCCATACATACCATTTGCACCACATCCCCCACCCCCCACCTGCCGGCTCTTGTACTGCTGATCTGAAGTGAGAGTGGAGACAGGCAGGGGACCCTCAGACAGCAGCTATGTTTGCCCATCTCCCCATCCCGTGGTCCACGCGTCCACAGCGGCCTCACCTACATACTCGCCCCTCGTGAAGGGCAGGGCTGGATGGACCACCCGTGTCTGCTGCTCAGCGGGAGGCGGTTCATAGGAATCGTCGCCCATCTCTTCTGCGGGCATCACGTACATCTCGGAGTCCGAATGTTCATCTGGATTTTCATAGTCACTGTCCTGCAAATGTAAGCAGGTGCGGTCTGATGAACAGATCCCATCTTAGGAGGCAGGAGTGGTTCCTGCGGCAGAGGACAGGAAGCGGAGGCTGATGGAGACTTCGTATCTGCCTGTTCCATACAGCTCCTGCCATAATCACACAGGACTTTCCAGTGCAGAGACAGACACTTGTCTTCTTTCCATTGGGATGTTATAATGGGGTTCCTCTGTCTGGCCTTTAGGAACAAACCTGTGTTTCATACTATCTGCAGCGGAGACCCACCAAAGTAAAAATAACAGCTTGGGGAATTTAATCAATCCTTGTTAATCTTGGCTGTTTAACTTTAGGGTAGGTTAGTCCCTACTCTCAGGTTAATTTTTACTTAGTATTCCTCTATTTATGCCTTTTATGTAAAGATTCTCTTTTATTTCTTGAGATTATAATATAATATAATTACACCATTTCCCCTTCCTCTTTCTTCCTCCAAACACTCCCATATACCTATCCTCACCCTCTTTCATATTCTTAATTTAGCCAGCAGGCTGTGTTCTCTCTCTCTGCTGCAGATGTGATCTTGAGCTGAAGCCAGCAGGGGGTGCAACTGGGACACTCTGGTTTCTGCTACACTGGGTTCTAGGAGGAACTTCATGCCCGAGTGACCCGCAATGAGATCACCCTTCCCCTTATTTTTCTTTTCTTTTTCTGCGGTTGAAGGAGGAGGAACTGCTGTCTTAAAGACCACATCCACTCCAGGTGGTGAACACAGATTCGATTCTAGACACGAGCCTGGAAGTCTTCATTTTGAGTCGTCCGTCATCCCGGTGAGGGACAGTGGAAATGTCAGTTCTGTCCTCGTTACCTCTGCCTCCTTATACGTGAGGTGGGGGTGTGGTGTGTGTAGGGTCCCTCACAGATTTGAAACTCAGATCAGAGCATGGTAACATTGTGGAATGTACATTGTGGATGGATGCAAGTACGTTGAATAAAACTTTAGTTGCATGGTTTAGCAAAACTCAGCTCCCAACAGGTGCAGCTACAGAGCCCCTGCAAACTACAGGGCCATTTGGAGAAGGATGACAGTTTATTCTGATGTATCACCTGCTAGTGTCACTATGGCTAAATATCTTTTAATTTGTCACTCTGTGACATAGGAGGCATAGCTGATGTTCTTTCGGTCATAGCAAGTACCTTGGTAGCTGACAGACTGATTCTGAGAGTCCAGGTTTGAGTTTGGGAACTGCAAGTTAATGAAATGTCCCTTTCTTGTTCTAGAAGCACCTGTACCCACCATTAATTCCATTTATTTATTATTTATCTATTGTTTTATTTATATGAGTACATTGTAGCTGTCTTCAGACACACCAGAAGAGGTCATCGGATCCCATCATAGATGGATGTAAGCCACCATGTGGTTGCTGGAAATTGAACTCATGATCTCTGGAAGAGCAGTCAGTGCTCTTAATCACTGAGCCATCTCTCCAGCCCAAACTCCATTTAAAGATAGGCTTTTGCTTGCTTAGTAGTTTGGCCTCAAATTCTCCAAGTAACCCAGACTGGTCTTAAACTCCCTTCCTGCCTCAGCCACCCAAGTGCTGAGATTATATGTGTGTAACAGCTCTGCCATTAACTCTTTGTTTTGGCAGGTCTCCTGTCTGGTGTCAGGGGGTAAGAAAGTCGGGGGGGGGGGTCAGCTTAGGTTAGAAGTATGCCTATCAGTACAAACTATTTAAATGCATGGGTTACTTCTGGTTTTGTGAGTCTGTGAGCTCAGAGAATGGGGTTAGAATACCTACCTCCCAGGGCTGTGGTAGAATAAAGAAGGTTACATATAAAAGCATTCAGCCTGGCTTGTGGTGAGCACTGGGTCAAGTCAGCTGTCAGTGAGGTCACTGCCACCTACCTAGAGAAGGCTTTTCAGTCCTTCTGAGACCCACCCCTCTCCCTGTGTTGCTCAGCTAGCCATCAGCTGTGGTTCAGAAAAAAAGCCATTTAAGAGGTCTCCTGAGAAGCTGGCACCCTCCTGATCCCAGGAGCAAATACTCACAAAGTCATCTGACCACTGTTCCTCTTCATCAGCAGGGCTGTCTGCAACAGGAGAGGGACACAGAGCAAAAAGCATGAATCCAGCTGGCCAGCTCTGGCTGACCCACAGACACAGGTACTGTCTGTCCATAGACCCCCTGAGCTGGCTATACACAGGTACCCAAGCTGGCTGCTTTTCTGTGGCCTTGAACAATAATTACAGCCATATCAGCATGCATTTTTTTCATTTCTTTCTCAGAAAGCTTAACCTAAAGCACAAAAGATAAGTCTCACAGGAACAGAACAGTGGAGCCCTTTACCTTGGCCTGTCTTTGTCAAAGGACATTCCTGGAATATTATACTTGCCCAATTTTTTTGCTTGATAAACTCCATAACTGTCAGTTCTAAAAGGTACCCCATTCTCCTCCCAAAGGGTAGGCCCCCTGACTCAGTCCCAAATTGAGTGTATGCCCAGCTCAAACTGGACTCTAGGGGGATTCCTGGTGGTTAGATAAGAGCTAGGAATTCTCAGGAACTTGTGAAACTGGTTCCTATTTGCCAAAAGCAGTGATTTTCTCCTTACCTCTGGAAGAAGGGCAATGGCTCTCCACTGACCTGTGGCTGCAGGCCCAGGCTGACCCTCAGACTGCCACAGTCCCTGTTCACAAGTACTTGTTTTATAGTTCAGCCCCTGTCCTGGCCCTTGTCGCCTCAGATCCCTGCTCTCTTTATTACTACCCCCACCCCCCCACCCCCACACTATTCTCTCCCCACCCCCACCTGTGCTCTATTCTCTCCCTCCCCCTCCCCCTCCCCCTCTGTGTACTCTTCCCTCTTCTCCAGCTTTCTCCCCTTCTCTTGCAGATAGCCCAGGCCATGTGCAGTCTGCCCTCCCTCCCCCACTCTGGACTCTTTCAGATGCCCCTGCATATTTTCTTTCTCTTATGCACAATTAAACCCTTCCATACCCGAGATCAGTCAAGTTGGCAGTTTCCTTACTGTATCTCCTCTCATACAATAACCAAAAGCAACTTGGAGAGGTTTTGGATTTGGCTTATGGGTCTGCCTGCCTGCCTGCCTGTCTGTCTGTCTCTTTATGTAACTTTCTTTTGAAGTCCCTGGAGACTACCTGGATTGAGAAGCATTGGGGCTGATATCTGAGCCCGATTTGCAGTTGAATGGGAACACTCCCCCCCCCCCAAACATAGAGGCAACATCTGAAAATGCACCTGGGTCATGGACATCTGGGTGTGAGGGAGGGCAGGACAAGGAGGGACACAACTGCAAGTGGTGATGTTGGTTTTGCCAAAAGGATAGTTTCCAAGGATTAAGGGGAAGAGCAAAGAGTGAGAGCAGGCTCTATTGGCAAAGTGAAGGACTGATTTGTAAGATTGGGAACTTGGACGGATTTGGCTTAAAGCAGGGTTGTTTGACTGTAATATGTGGGAGTTCTTGCTAATTCTGACTCAGTAGTTGGGTGCAGGGTGGAGGCTATATATGCCTAAAAAGCTTCCAGCTGACTGCTGCCACCAAACTAGGGATCAGACTGTGGAGCAAGCCATATTCCTGTGTTCCAAGAGACCCAGATATATTGATATCAAGGCTACGTGGAAGGGCTGGGTCTGTAGCTCAGGTGTGAAGCACTTGCCTAGCACATATGAGGTCCTGGCTTTGAGCCCCAGTACCATATGAGAAAAGACTAAATAGAACATTTCAGGAAAGGCTCAGGTGCTTGAGGTCAAGGAGAACACTTTTTAGTGTCCTGCAGATGGGAAGACACACATTCCTAAAAAACAATGTCTGAGAAGCTTGCTGTAGCATCAGGACCGAAATCCAGTAGATCTCCAGTCCTCAAATGACAAGGATGAACTGGAGTGATGTCCACAGCTCCATAGCCAGTTAGTCGCTAGAAATGAGAGGACCTTGTCACTAGCCCTGTGACCTGTGACTGCAGTGAGCCATAAAGGGTTCTGTGGTGCTTAGATGAAAAGAACTGTATTATGGCTCAATTCTCTGATGGAGGATAAGAACTGGAATGGAATCAGATGTTGAGAGCCACTTAGGAGCTCTGACCAATGACAAAAAAAAGAAATGGTGAGGGTCTGACCTATAGCCATGGCAACAGAGAGGAAAGATAATTGAAGGTGGAATCAGCGGGATTCAGATGAAGGCTTGCCCTTTCTGCTAAGGATGAGAACAGTAGGACTTGACAAAGAGCCTCGTGGCATGTGGTTTAGGCAAAAAGATGAAAGTATGGCAGATGTTTCCTGTCATTCACCAAAGAAGAAAACAGAGAAGGAGGCATCCATGGAGGAAAGGACAACCAAGCAACCGTGATGAGAAATGTCCCTCCATTAGCTAGTTGAGCCGCTGAGGACTGACTCAAGTCCAGAATTTGAGTCTGTCATCTCTAATGCTGCTGGTTCATCTACAAGGGACAGATATGCTTGCAATTTGTCCCCTAGCACTTGAATTAGATGTCACCTCCTCAGAGAGACTGTCCCATCTGATTCTTTGCCACTTCACCCTGCCATTTTCTTCCTGTTTTCCATAGCAGCCATGATGTTTGGGAAATTACTTATTTTTAAAATGTGTGTGTGTGTGTGTGTGTTGAGCTAGCTAGCCCAGGAACTTCTGGGAATTCTGTCTCTGCTCCCATTCTGTCCTATGAGTGCTGGGGTTACAGTCTGCTGCAATATTAGTCTTCTGTGGTTTCTAGGGATCCAAAGTCAGACCCTCATACTTGTATGGCAAGTACTTTACCCACTGCCACCCAAGACAAATTTGTGACATATTTGTTGAGTAGGTCAATACTATAGCACCTGAAAATATTTATTCCACAGAGTTAACTGTCCAAGTGATATCACTTCTGAGTTGTCTGCTTTGACACTACACAGACCAGCTCTGTTACTCTTTTGAGGCTTCAGAGCTTGTACAGGGATGCCTTTAGGAGACATTGGAGAGGAACAACACCTACATTAAGTAAAGGCTGCCCGTTTCTCAGGGATCAAGTAAGCTTTGGAAACCAGCATGGAAGATGACCTTGTTTGTGAGGATATCAATAGTGGAGGTAGGACTAAGTCCAGACTAGATGTTGGCCTGAATCACCTCTTCCACACAAGAATCCATCATTCCATGATTCCCCTGTCATTTCTGTTCGGACACTAAATAGGTCAGAGTTGTTTTGTTTTCCCATCTTTGGAAAGAAGAATGGTTTGTTCTCACTTAGCCATGGTTTGGAAACAGGTTTCCTTGACTTACGGATTAGGTAGATTTTTGAATTCCTGGACAAAAATCCCCATTTCTTAGTTTCATCCTCCACAGGAATCCCATGGCTATCTGTATAAACTCGCTAAATGCTTGACAGGGTGTGCTTCTGTCTATTCTAGATGAAGGTGTTGAGTAATGATTTTGATCACCATTGCTACAAATCTACTAATCTTAAAATTAGACTTTTTGCAGCCAAAGTTGATTCCGGTGGAAACGGAGCTGCAGATGTGCAGGTGTAGGAGGTGTTCAGAGGTCAGCCTTGAGCGCCATTCCTCAGGATCCCTCTGCTGCTTTTGACAGGGTCTCTCGCTAGGAATGGTTACCCAGCAAACCCAAGGTACTATCTATCTCCACATCCCCAGTACTGGGACTACATGTAAATGCCACCATACCCAGCTTTTTATGTGGTTTCTAGGGGCCAAATCTGGCTCTTCATGCTTGCAAACCAAGCACTTTACTGACCGAGCCATCTGACTCCTTAAATAGCTTTTTGTGCAGGATAGATTAGTCCCCACTGCCATGTACTGCACAGGACTGCACTTTCTATGCTACGTGAAATTGTAGATGTTTCTAACATCACCTGTCTTCCCTTTAGGGCTATCAATTCTGTGGCAGGGGAAACTTTAAGTCACTTGAAAGTATGGCTCCTACTTAATACCTTACATATGTCTGACACATGGGATGTGTTCAATAAATAGCTGCATAGACACATAGATGGATGTATGGATAGACAAATGGGTAGGTGAATGGATAGTAAGTGGGTGGACGGTTGGGTAGGTGGATGGATGGATGGATGGATGGATGGATGGTTAGGTGGATGGATGGATGGATGGATGGATGGATGGATGGATGGATTGGTAGGTGGATGGATGGATGGGTAGGCAGGTAAATGGGTGACTAGGTGAATGGACAGATGAATGGCTGGGTAGGTAGATGGATAGGTGAATGTGTGAGTAAATGAATGGGTAGTTTATTTGCACTGTAGTTAAAGGCCCCATTGATATAGTTATTCTTAAGATCAGGCGGAGCATCCTTCCCTTTCAAATGAATACAGCATATTTCCCTTCACAAGAAATACTTATGAATATTAGACAAAAACCAGCTAATATATTTTAGAAAAATTCTTACCTAATGCATAGTCCCTTCGAGGAACACTTGGAGGTCCTTTGACTTTTAATCTGTGGATGAGAACCGGTAGAACAAGGGTCAGTGGGCAGGACAGCTGTTGTCAAGGCTCAGAGCACAGGCCAACATAGAGATAAGAGACACATAACTACTAGAACACACATCTTATGCATCCATTGCACTGAGTTTAGTGTATTGTAATCTAATGGGGCCAGGATTCTCCATGGTGCACAGGGAGCCTATGACTTGGCTCAAGTCAGGCTGAGACATGGAAGGGCTCTATGAGGCCCAAAGACTAGTTAACACTGCATTCAGTGACTCAAGGAAGACCAATTCTCATCGGCTGAAAAGAAAATCAAAGAAGATGAACTGTGTTTTAATAGTTCACAAATACTTCTTTTAAAAAGGGAAAAATCATCAATAAGAAGTATTTCGCTCATAGGTTGAACAAAAATCATTTTCACCATTTCGAAGCATGACAAGTGGGGCCTAGTGGTAGAGCACTTGTCTAGCACTTGTAAGGCTCTGGGTTCTAGTCCCAGCATTAGAGTAAAACAAATCAAAACCCATGACAAATAGGCAAGTATCATCTCAAGATGGAAGGTTTATAGTAAATTATCAATTAATAATAATTACCCATGTCACTTAAAAATAATTTCCTTAATGAAATTTAAAGCACACACATATAAAACTTATATGTGTTCCAGTAGCCTTTAATTACTAAAATATTATTTCCTTTTATAGACACAATATATATGGTAGTAATTATGTATCCATTTCATTTTTTTAAAAAATAATTGTGCATTTTAGAAATACATAAAATTCCTTACAAACCAAAATTGCAGATTGTAAAAATAACAGTATTTGGTTTTGTCTGGGAATCCTCCCTTGCTCACCACAGGTTTCACTTCTATTTTTGCTCCCACTCGCATCACAAGCTAACAACTCTCATCGGAATAAACTTGTGATGAAGTCTGCGAAGAGATTATCAAAGGAATCAAAGGGAAGAGTAACAGGAACAAAAGGAGGTGTGATATCCAGGAACAGCAACATTTCAAAATGCTCAAGCCAGCTACCATCCACTCCCATCCCCGTGTCAGGAGAGGAGACTGTTTTAACAGCTCAACTCATCTGGGAATGAAAGACAAACTGAAGAATGAAGAGATTGGTCAGTAATCACATGCTGCACAAGGGTAAGAACTGTGTTTGGATGCCCAGCATCCACCCACATAAAATATGGGCGTGGTGTGCCTGCCTATAAATCCAGTGCTGGTGGCTGGACAGGGGAGGATTCAGGGAGTTTGCTGGCCAGTCAGTCTAGCTGAATTGGTGATGTGCAGTTCAGTGAGAGACCCTGTCTCAGAGAACTAATGTGGAGAGTGGGGGAGGAACACGGGATTCTAGCTTCTATACATGAACACACATACACACATGAACATGTACCTACGTGCATATGTGCACACACCCATACTAATGTGTATAGGCAACACATCCACAGAGAGAGAGAGAGAGAGAGAGAGAGAGAGAGAGAGAGAGAGAGAGAGAGAGAGAGAGAGAGAGAGATGCAGACGGCAAGACAGGAATAAAAGATGTATTTTGAAATTAGTGAGTAGCTGGCAGGTATACACTAAACCTAACACTTCGTATCTCAGTCTTTGTGACAGAGGAAACAGTGTGCTCAACTGTGCTTCCTCTTCTCGAGGGAGAATGTTGTCCGGTGTCATAAGGGAGCCCAACTGTAGTTCCTTTAAGGCAAGGAGTCCTTGACTTCCATGGTAATGGCCATGGTGGCCAGATTTTCCACCATCCAGAAATGTGGCTTGTCAAGAAAAGCACTCTAGAGGCTAAGAAGATGTCTGGGGAGTCAGGTTAAGAACATTTGTCCTGCGAGTATGACAATATGAATTCATGTCTCTGTTACCCACATAAGAAGCCAGGCATGGCTGTGCATCTCTGTAACCACAGAATTTGCTAACAGCGATAGGCACATCTTGAGAGCTCTCTGGCCAGCCAGCCTAACAGAAGCAGTGAGTTTCCAGTTCAGTAACATGCCCTGTCTCAAGGTAGTAAACTGGAGAGCAATAGAGGAGAACACCAAAAACCCAGGACTTGTTTCTATGTGCATGTGTGCATGTAACACACACACACACACACACACGCCCTAGAGACAGCAGGCAGAATGCTTGAAGAGACTGTCAGGATCACTGGCTGCCCATGGCTTCTGTCATATGACTGAACACAAGAGAGAAACCTCACAACCACTGAGAACATCGCAGTTACAAATCTGGCAGCTGGGGCAACCCACAATTGCTAGTGAGTCTGATGGTGGCTAGTGTGGGGAATGAGATTCCATAGTGGAAAGGATAAACAGAAATGATCTCACAGGTCTGCCAGTCCCCAGACAGAGGCTGTCTTCCTTTATGAGATGACCCCCTTCTCCTCACAGAGGACCACAGCCTCTGCCTTCCAATCCCCATGTATGCTGAGGCTGCTGTACATGCTAGGTTCTAAAAACAATCAAAGAGAATGAATACACTGTTCTACCTACATGGAGAAATGAACAGGGCTATGCTGTTGTTCGCATAAAATTGGGGGGAAGGGAAATTTGGGAATAGTGATAAGACTTTAATGTCCACTTAAAAATTTTTATTTCCAGAGTTTAGACTAATGGAGTACTTGGGGACTGAGAAGACCCTCATTGGAGTCACTTATCTTTGACAACTAAATGGAAAGAGATGGCTAGGGAAATTTGGTTGATAGGAAACTATCACTCCAGAGACGTTATCTGTTCAAACTCACACCCTCCCCTTTAACACACCCACTGATCTATAGTCGGTTTGTTTAATGATAACACAGCTATAGTAGACTACCAGGCAGCACTTACAGAAAAGTTTATCTTCTCATACTAAGAAAGAGGTCCATGATAACACCAGCACCACAAGCTAGGAGAATCGTATATGCAACATGATGCTGCTTGACACGGAAATGCCTGTGTGTACGCATGCGCAGTATTGGCATATGCATGCCTGCCTAAGTGTAGACAGGTAAGTGTTCCTGAGTCGCTGGGATAGCGCATTGGATGGCGCCTGTTTGGGGGGAGGGGCTCAGAGAAGGACTATGAGAAAGTGAGCAGTCCTGATACATTTCAAATTTGGTGAATTTTTTCATGGTGAATTTGTATTACATTAATAAAAAGGCAAATTTAAAAATTGAACACTAGGCAGAGTGTGATATCGAACACCTTTCGTCTCGGCACTCACCCAGGAGGCAGTGAATAGTGAATGCAGGAAATATATACAATTTCTGTGGTGGGTGTTGCGCGTGCATGCGTGTGTGTGTGTGTGTGTGTGTGTGTGTGTGTGTGTGTTTTAAATTAAGGGATTTTTGGTGCACATGAAAACCCAGGATTGTGGCTTTGCTTCTTCAAGAGCTTGATGAAACGTGATTTTAAGGCAACAACTAACAAAGCATAAACTAAACTCTAGACCAGTGATATGATGACATCACCAAAAAGCAAGACACGATTGCCTCAGCAGCACCTGGATAATGATGAACAAAAAAAGCCAGGCTGAGCTGCCTATGTTCTTACTGGCTTCTCCAGTTTTACACCGGGGCCTCAGCTCAGCAGCCATCCAAGTGGTTTTCCTGCTAGGTGCCCTGAGTGGACCCAGCATAGCTCCTCAGGGAGACAGGGAATGGTAGATCCCTGAGTTCCACTTCACTCACTAACCTTTTTCCAGATGGAGACCTAACCATCATGGCTTCCTGCCCCTAGTAAGAAGGGGAGAAGCATCATGGTCTTCACTGGCCGACAGAGCTTTGCTCTCCACTCAGTACCGACTGACTTACTGTATAGAAATAATAGTGATTAACTTACTTTTTTATCTTGTCCATTATTCCACCTTCATTGTTCTTAATATCATGGACCATCTTTTGAAGCTGTCTGTAAAAAAAATCACAAGCAAAAAAATATTAATATCTAGGATGATTTTTGTAATATAATTTTTATCTTCATCAATAAAAGGCACTGGTCCTATTTGGATCACAAACTACTGTTGGCATATTTTAAATCTATTTTATTTATTTTCTTTTATCCCTTCCTCTCTTCTAACCTTCTCCCCTAATACTAGGTAAGACAGAAAGAAGGCTAGAGGGGGAAGAGGGTGTAAGTGTCTTTAAACTACTTTCTGCTGACTAGAGACATTGGGTTTTGAGGGGCAAGTCCAATCTTCATAGTCAGGATATCTCTAACTTCTTCTTGTCACTTTGCTCTTTGCTTCTGATCACTCATGAACAACAACACGACCAACCAGGAGCGCAGAGGGGAAGCAGCAGCTTTCTTCCTTCTTTCTTTCTTCTTCCCTCCTTCCTCCTTCTCTTCCTCCTCCCCTTCCTCCTCTTCCTCTCTTCCTCTTCTTCTCCCCCTTCCTCTTCTTCCTCTCCTTTCTTCTCTTCCTCTTCTTCCTCCTCTTCCTCTTCCTTCTCTTCTTCCTCTTCCTCGTCCTCCTCCAGAACACCTCCTTGTCCCTCTCCAGAGTCCTCAGAATCATACTGTCTATAGCCAGCACAATCACACCCCTGTCAGAGCACACACAAGGCAAATAGTCTGCTGCTGTGGATAATCTGAAGCAGCCCCTTTATCTCACACCTTATCAAATGCTTGTCTTAATTCCAGTCTTCTCTAGTAACATTCCTTTGAACAACCACCCAAGCTTCCAAGGATAATGCATAGAGAAGCATCTAATTTATATAATTGAGGCCATTCTTGACCTTGCATTTTCTACATAATATATGTGTATATACTGATGGTGCCCCAGAAATATGTTCAATTTGAGTCAATTAAAAATAAATATAATGTATTTTTATTTCAACTGACACATAAAGGTTGAATGTATTTATGGGATCCATGTAACATTTAGATACATGTATACATTATATAGGGTTCACATTAGGCCAAATGTTACAGATCTTTTTAAACAGTTATCATTTCCCTATGGTAGAAACAAAATTTCCCTTTCCCTAGAATATGAGAACTTATTTGTATTATCAAACTGATTATTCACACTTAAGGGCTGACCTCATTCCTGACAGTAGAAGGCCAACACAAAACGAACTCAATGATATTTTGGAAGGTTTTGCCTCATAATAATTTGTTTGGACCACTTCTGTATCTTATTATAGGTCTTTTGCTTGTATGTTATGGTTTCTGATTTTGTGTTTTATGGGATTTCTGTGTGTGCAAATGTGTGTGTCTCTCTGACTGTGGATGTTTTATATTCTGTTTCTTTTTTCCTACTTCCTATTCTGGCTTTTATTTTATTTATTTTCTTTCTTTCTTTTTCTAGATGACTTTAGATCTTTCTTACAGTGACAGAGAGAAAAAGGGTGTGGATTTGGGTGGGTGGGGAGGTGGAGAGTATCTGGGGGGCGTTGTGGGAGAGAGATCATAATCAGAATATATTGTATGGACAAAATCTATTTTCAATAAGAAAAGGGAAAACAATCCCTGTAATTTTATTAATTATTGATCAACCTTTCCCGTCCTCTTTTCTCTACTTCCTTACCCACCCCATTATGTTTTTAATGACTGAATAATATTTTATAACTTATAATATCGAATTTTATTTTTCTGTTCATTGGTTGTAGGCACTCAGGTTGCTATTTCTTTGCTCCTATAGATAGTACTGCAGTAAGCATGGGAAACCAGCTGGTTTTTGGTCAAATGACTTCATTTCCTTCAGCATATGTCAAGCAGTGGGGTTACTAGATCATATAGTAGTTTGATTTCTCTAACTTTGGGGGGAATTTGCATACTGCTTTCCACAATGCTAACTACCAAAGTCTATTCCCATCATACTGTGTTCCCTTTGCTCCACACCCTTGTAATCCTATTTCATTTGATGGCGAGGGCCATGCAGGAGGAATGACTGATGGCTGTGGAACTCATGGGATTCAGCCCACTGGTTAGCATAGCCATGGTGGGATCACCTTTTCTGAGGCATAGCCCTGAGGACCACGTGTCCTGAGGACTTCATGCTGGTTATGGAGTTCTGCTCTGCTTGCCGCCCTCACATCCCTCTTACTCTAAGAATTGTATGAAAACTCCAAGAGGCTTCCAGCCCCTCACTGGGCAGTACCTCTGACACTCACAACAATAGGGCTTGATCTCTTTCAGGCATTTGCTGCTGAAGCAGATTAATGATTCATTTACCACCCTAGGAAAGAACTTAGAGGTGTAGATTTCTAGCCACTGTTAGAAAATATTTGGAAAAATAAAATTGTTAGTCAAGCTAGGTTAAGATGTTCTTGCTACTTGCTCTGATGTTGAAAATCTTAGGAAACAATTTGAAGTTCATAAAAGAAAGACACACTTTTAATAGTGAAGCTTGAGACCTTTTATGGTCAGGGAACAAGAACAATGGCAGCACTGACTGACATGGCTCTCACTGAGGCTGGACTGGTGATGATTGACTTCTGGTACCCATTTTTGCCCTCATCTTCCTGATGTGATTTATTAAGAATTATTGATGAGTAGATATGCATTCTGAGGATTTAAAGTAGATATGACTGATTTTTATGTAAAAGTTTAGATTTGTGATTCTTTTAAGATTCTTATAAGATCACTTTTAAAGACAAATAATAAAACTGTTGATCCTTTCTTTGTAACCACAAGTTCCTGCCTGCCAGTAAGAGAAAGGAGCTGAGAAACTCCCTTGCTTGCCCCCATTGTCAATCCATAACAAGTTGCTTAGTTACGAATGTACGCAGGTTCTTGGGAATCATTTGTTTTCTTTACCTGTACTATGTAATGTTATTTCCTGTAAAGGTATTGAGGAGCAAACTGTTTTGTCATGATCATTCACTAGAAAAAACTAGGATGTAATCACATTGTAATTTTATACTGCTTGAAAGACTTTGCTGGGATATATAGGCTATAGGAGAAAGAATAAAGTTGTTGAAACATTGTTCCATCCAACAAATACGTGTGTGTGTGTGTGTGTGTGTGTGTGTGTGTGTGTGTAAGTAATGTATATATGTATGTGTGTATGTATATATGTAAAGCTTGTTTGGGTGTGTGTTGGGGTTTGTTCCATTTACCAATTGTGTGTGTATGTGTGCATGCACGAGAGAGAGAGAGAGAGAAAGAGAATGCTTGGAGCCTGCTTGCTCTATCCATTCTATGTAAGAATGTATATGTACTTGTCTGTCTATATATATGCATGCATGTATGTGTGTATTTGTATATATGAGTTTATTAGACATGCCTTTTGCTTCATTTACTCAATGTGTGTGTGTGTGTGTGTGTGTACATGAATTTTCTCTTTCCTTTTCTTTATTTCCGGCCCCAAGGAGTTAAGAGTTCAGTTTCTCACTGGCTACAGGGAGTGCCCAGCCAGTAAATTAAGCTTTCTTCCCTCAGTGAAAAGTCTGCTGAGTAATTTCTCTAATCACTGGTTGCTATAGGCAGCAGGTCCCGTCATTATCTGGACCACCCCATCAGCGGCTCTAAGTACTGACCCCCATCTGCTGCCTGCTGCGGTTCAACCACCCCACCGATGCCGAAGCTGGTTATTGGCAATTTGTTAGTGGCCATTCTAATGGGAGTGAGGTGATACTTCATTGCCCAGGAAACAGAAAGTGTCCAGCCTTCTGTTTCAGTCAACAGTACACCACTCCTGTCTATCTTAAACATGAGAGAAGAGCAGGAGGGTAGAGCTCTGGCTGCTGGTGGCCTGCAGTCTTCCTTTACCTAAGCTCAGCAAGCAATGCTGGGTATCAGAGCAGCAATGTCAACTCCACAAGCCACAAAGCACACTGACATCACACATCCTCTTGTCTTCCTCGGGGTGAGTACATGGACAATTGATCTCATTACGGCTTCTCCATAGAAGACAGGCTAAGTTAGAAGGGCCTTTAATTAAGCTTGGGTGGGGAGTCACACAGGATTTGTCATCATCCTGATACCTGGGCCTCACTCCAGACCACTGAACCCAAAGTCATTGACCCTCAAGTGTTTCCAGTGTGTCAATGAAGCTGAGACCCTCAGACAGCATTATCAGGGTAGGAGAGCTTTGCTCACACCCACTCCCGCTCTGGGGATCTGATCTGAAAAAGCACACTGGGGAGGACTATACAGAGCCAGTGAACCACCAGAACATCCCTAGGCATTCGAGGGTGGAACAAATTCTGGAAGGATAGTTTGTGGGACACCAAGGTGAGGGGCTCTAGGGAAAGCAGCTGTACTGAGGTGTAGCCAGTCACCAAACAGGAGTCCAAGAAAGCTCACGGTTTACAAGATCCATGCTCCCTTATCTTTCTATTAAATATAGAAGAGGATTAAAAAAACAGCACCATCTGCCACAAGCATATTTTTAAAGCCTATCAAAGGCATAGTGTGTGTGTGTGTGTGTGTGTATCTTACTTTTACTTCAGCTCACTTTGCACTTACTGGACCGTAGAGAGGGGACAGGGCATGCTGGTATTTGCTCCACTTCTCTCTTCCCAGAGAAGACCGAATGCAAAGCAACCAGATCAGAGAAAATCCCCTGTGGTCTGGTCTACGGATTAAGAGTCTCAAAGGAGAGCAAATCCTGCTAAGAGCAGATATATTCATTTCCTTTCATCCATCTCAGCCCCAGCTCCAGTTCTTGGATTTCACGCTTCAGGAGCTGTAAGGTATGCCCTGCCACCTGAGCCGATCTGGGTCTAAGCGATCATCCTACATAGGAAAGGCTGTGCCAGGCCTCAGGGCCCTGCACTCTGCTTCGAGGGCCTTCAAAGTCCCCGTTTCTAAATCTCAAACTTCACCTGGCTATTCCCTTGCTCATGAGCCCACTGTAGCTCCCTGGTGCCCACGGAACCTAGCTTGACACTTTTATCTGATCATTACTGGAGCTCACCCTGATCTCTGTAGATTCTGGCATCTCAGGCACCCTTAGGACT